TTGTTCACTTAAGAAGGTCTTCTTATCTCTCCTTGCTGTTCTCTGGAACTCTGCATTCAAATGGGTATATCTTTCCTTTTCTCCTTTGCTTTTCACTTCTCTTCTTTTTACAGCTATTTGTAAGGCCTCCTCAGACAGCCATTTTGCTTTTTTGCATTCCTTTTTCTTGGGGAGGGTCTTGGTTCCTAGTCTCTTGTACAATGTCATGAACCTCTGTCCAGAGTTCATCACTCTATCAGATCTAGTCCCTTAAATCTATTTCTCACTTCCACTGTATAATCGTAAGGGATTTGATCTAGGTCATACCTGAATGGTCTAGTCATTTTCCCTACTTTCTTCAGTTTAAGTCTGAATTTGGCAATAAGGAGTTCATGATCTGAGCCACAGTCAGTTCCCAGTCTTGTTTTTGTTGAGTATATAGAGCTTCTCCATCTTTGGCTGCAAAAAATATAATCAATCTGATTTCAGTGTTGACCATCTGGTGATGTCCATGTGTAGAGTCTTCTCTTGTATTGTTGGAAGAGGGTGTTTGCTATGACCAGGGCATTCTCTTGGCAAAACTCTATTACTTTTGCCCTGCTTCATTCTGTACTCCAAGGCTAAATTCGCCTGTTACTCCAGGTATTTCTTGACTTCCTACTTTTGCATTCCAGTCCCCTATAATGAAAAGGATATCCTTTTTGGATGTTAGTTCTAAAAGGTCTTGTAGGTCTTCATGGAACCATTCAGCTTCAGCTTCTTCAGCATTACTGGTCGGGCACAGACTTGGATTACCATGATATTATATATTCATAAATAATATATACTATTTTGTGTTTCAAATTTCAATAAAAGATGTATCTAATAGCATGTGCTTTTTAAACTTAACAGTTTTTGAGATTTACCCATCTTGAGAAATAGATTAGATTGAGATGAATGAGACTGAATTTATTAATTTTAGCTGGTGTATGAATAAACCAAACTAGAGACATTAGGGTACTTCTGCTTTTTAGGAAATTATTATTGCCAAATGTGTCTGCAGTGAACACTTTTGTCTGTGCCTCTGATGAACATTTTTTCCTTGTTGAGGTGCTGTCAAACCTTTCTCTAAAGGACCTGTGTCAATGTTCACTTATGCCTGCAAATGTATAGGGGCTCCTGTTTCCCATGTCCTTGCCAAGGCCTAGGATTACAGTCTTATTTTTCTTTGCCCATCTGATGAGTTGAAATGGTACTTTGTTGTTTTACCTTTCAGATCACTGGTTACTAATGAAGCATTTTTAAAAACATGTTTTAGACATTGGGGTTTCCTGTCTATTCATATCCCTTGCCCCATTTTTCTATGGGCTTATTTAAAAAACTTTATGATGTCTTCTTTTGTAAAAGTTTTAACTTTAATGATATACATGGTTTTTCTCTTTTTCTCATGGCCCCAGGTGCATGTGTGCTCAGTCGTGTTGTGTCCAACTCTGTGATTCCGTGGACTGTAGCCTGCCAGGCTCCTCTGTCCATGGGATTTCCCAGGCAAGAATGAACATTTATTCAATACTCCATTCAGCTATGTTATGCCACCTGTGTCATATGCCAAGTTGCCATATGTATATAGGTCTATTTCTGGGTTCTCTCTTTTTACTACTGTATTAGTCTGCTCATGTTGCCATAGACTGGGTGGCTTAAACATCAGACATTTATTTTCCTACAGGTTCCAGAGGCTAGAAGTCTAGGATCAAAGTGCTAGCAAAGTCACCTGTGTCATATGCCAAGTTGCCATATGTATATAGGTCTATTTCTGGGTTCTCTCTTTTTACTACTGTATTAGTCTGCTCATGTTGCCATAGACTGGGTGGCTTAAACATCAGACATTTATTTTCCTACAGGTTCCAGAGGCTAGAAGTCTAGGATCAAAGTGCTAGCAAAGTCACCTGTGTCATATGCCAAGTTGCCATATGTATATAGGTCTATTTCTGGGTTCTCTCTTTTTACTACTGTATTAGTCTGCTCATGTTGCCATAGACTGGGTGGCTTAAACATCAGACATTTATTTTCCTACAGGTTCCAGAGGCTAGAAGTCTAGGATCAAAGTGCTAGCAAAGTCACCTGTGTCATATGCCAAGTTGCCATATGTATATAGGTCTATTTCTGGGTTCTCTCTTTTTACTACTGTATTAGTCTGCTCATGTTGCCATAGACTGGGTGGCTTAAACATCAGACATTTATTTTCCTACAGGTTCCAGAGGCTAGAAGTCTAGGATCAAAGTGCTAGCAAAGTCACCTGTGTCATATGCCAAGTTGCCATATGTATATAGGTCTATTTCTGGGTTCTCTCTTTTTACTACTGTATTAGTCTGCTCATGTTGCCATAGACTGGGTGGCTTAAACATCAGACATTTATTTTCCTACAGGTTCCAGAGGCTAGAAGTCTAGGATCAAAGTGCTAGCAAAGTCACCTGTGTCATATGCCAAGTTGCCATATGTATATAGGTCTATTTCTGGGTTCTCTCTTTTTACTACTGTATTAGTCTGCTCATGTTGCCATAGACTGGGTG